TGAAATTTATTAGATAATTATTAATTAAAAAATGTGACCACAAATTAAAAAATTAAAATGGATAAATTTGTCAATAAAATTAAAAAATTTTAATCCACTAGCGGTTTGGTACAAAAAGCTATATAAACTAGCTTTTTCAATCCGCTAGCGATTTGAACTCTAACTGCTATCCGCTAGTTTCAAACCGCTAAATAAAAATTTTACCAAACACTTTAGTTGTAGCGGTTTCGAAATATATAAATTTATCAAATACTTATATTTAACGATTTAAATAAAATCGTTAACCGCTATCTCAAAACCGCTATACTAAATGGACCTTAAAACTGCGTCGGCGTGGACAATTCCATTTGACGAGGTTATCCTTGCCGCTAATTTAAAGTTTCAGGTTTTAGTCTTCACTACGTGGGGTCAGGTTTTTTTTAGGAAAGTAATAGTTAGTAAGTTAATTTTATTAGTGATTAATAATTAAGGATTTCATTCTCAAATTTAATGAAAATCTCACCTCAGCGCGCGACCATCGAACGATCTGGTGGAGTTCGTGGGATCAGTGGGTCTCGGGACCGCGAGACATCTTTACTCGGTCACATCACTCCTACTTTTTATGCATTGAATTGTGACAAATAGCTTTCTGCTTGACTTGACTAAAAATTAAAAAATGTGACCACCTGTTCGGTTCCATTTGACAAGCCTCTCCTTGCCGTTGATATTGAGTTTTCACTCTGATCTTTACCACGTGGATCAATGGGTCCAGGGTATTAGACAATTTGTGCTTATCTCTTTATTTAAGACTAGGCCGTGACAAATTACCTCACAGCGCTATAACCTTATTGACCCCCTTTTCTCGGGTATCGGATTCATTTCATCGCGCCCTCCAGGCTCCAGATATTCGCTGCAGATTTCTTCGTCTTTATTGATGATTATTGGTGGGGATTAAAGTCTCCCGCACTAACAGCCCTCCGATCTTCATCAATTCATCCCCACCTTCCCTTGCAAAAAGCCAAGCCAACCTCTCTTTACCGTAGCAGACGGATGGACAAAAACGTTGCAGATCCGGGTCCTCCTTTTTCGGGAATCTGAGACGAAGATGACAAATGGGGACCATTGTGGGCTTGCTGAGGCGTCTTCACGTGGGCTTGTGTCCTATTCTTGGAGTTAATAAAAGATAAATGCGAGACGGGTGGAGCATGTGGAAGAAGGGGACAGCGTTCGGTATATCCACCTAGCATTAAAACATCAAATCCAATAAACTAATTTAAAAAAGGATTTTTATAACTAGACATTTTCTGCTTATCTCTTGAAGACGGAACAGTGATAAAATTGCCTCCCAAGTCCCAACAACGTAAAATCGTGTCGTGCCCCTTTTCTCGCGTGTCGAATTCATTTCATCGGGCCCTCTACGTATTTGTTGCAGCTTTCTTTCTTTTGCCTCGTTGATTGAGTAACGTTAATTCAATCAACATCCAACCCACGCACCTGATTTTGTAGGTCCTCGTTGATTCATGGACTGATTTAATTTGTCATTTAGTAATGATATATATCACTTAATTCATGGACTGATTTAATCCCTCCTACTCCTACCCCAAAAATCGCCCTTGATAAAAAAAAAAAAAAAATCAACATCCAACCCGCGAAAATACCAACAACCAACTGGGGGACAATATGCATGTGCCTCATCATGCCTAGGAGTCAAAAGATATTGGGAGATGCACAAGGTGTTTGTCTGGACTTAAAAAGGCATTTGTTTTAAAGTAATTCTTTTAAAAAATAAAATTTTATTGGAGAAATTTAAAAATTAAGTAAAAATAAAAAAAAAGTGGACATCAATTTACATTTAAAAAATTAAGTGAAAAATATATTAAAAATATATTATTTTAATAAATTATTATTAAAAAATTAAAATATCATAATTTTTAAAATAAAAATAAATGTATTGTTTATTTTTTGTAATATTTTACTAAAATAATATAATTTTAATTTTTTATTTTGACAATATAAATTAATACTCAATAATCTCTCTAAAGTAAAT